GCAGAGCTTATCTGTGTACGCATGCAGCTTCTGGAAAGATTTTGACACTTTTTGTAGGGCTCAATTTGAATATCTTTTTTGGTAGAGGAAATTAGGGTTTATATGAATTTGTGGGGTTTTCAATTTGAAGTTCAATATGCAATTGTTTCTTGCAAATAGGGAGAAGAAATGGTTTGGGCCTGATTTGGGGAAGAATTGAATTAGGTTATGGAGAAGAAATCGTTTAGACTTGTGAAGATTTGGGAGAATTGAATCTTGATTTTGGGAAAAACATTCTTTCAAATTGGTAAGGAATAAGTTACTTTTGTTAATTAATTTTTTGTCTGAGCTGTCCAATAGTTTAACACTAATGATGGTCGAACATATTCAAAGACAAGTAAAAGTTGGAAAAACTGAATTGGCGGCACGTGGTTGGATATTTGTGTGTGTGTGTTTCTTTTTTTTCAAACTGTCCAATCCTATGCCCATACATGTTCACCCTTTTTTAAGTTTGTCTTTGAGTTAGTTTGTATAGCACAATTTTATTAGAATAATGATGATTGAATGCACTCAGAGATAGGCAAAAGTTGGACAGACTGAATTGGCAGCACGTGTTTGGATATTTTTTTATTTTATTTTTCAAATTGTCCAATCCTATGTTGACACATGTTCGCCTTTTTTAGTCTATCTTTGAGTTTGTTTGTGTAGCATAATTTACACTATTATTAACAAGTAGGATTTCCATCTGCCACGTATATCTTTTTGTCCTCGTGGATGGATGAATTTTAAATAAGTAACGAATTGGTAATTTTGTCTAAAAGTGGATGAGCAATAGGTAACATTCTTATTTCTTGATGAGTAAGTAGTAATTGATGTTAAATGTTGATATTGATTATTTAATTAACTCTACTGTTGTTTGTATGTATTTCCTTTAATAGTATATTTTCTATTGTTGTTTTGATTTCAGTTGAAGAAAATACTTCATGATTATTAGAGTTTTAGTTAAACACAATTTCTAAAAGAATATAAAAGAGTTCAAGAATTTACTGAAAATAAATATTAATGAATGAATTTAGAATACTAGAGTTTTATTTAATTTTATATATATCTATATAAGGAAATTTACATAAAATTAAAAACATAGTAAAATTGTCTTTTAAGAGATCGTGTATGTGCCTTGATTCATCTATCAGAAAAGCAATAATTGTGTTGGACTTGTGTTTTAAACACATTCTTTTATTGGTTATGTTCACTCTAATATCAAGGTCCATAGTATTCTTTTACAATCATGCTATATGTATGACATTGGTTGACATGATCGAATTTGACATCATTATATTCATCCATTTTATGTTTGAGTCACAATTTTTTAAAAAGAATACATTTTTAAACAGTAATTTGATATCATTCCAATCACACATTCTTCAATAAAATAATATTACTCGCAAATCCAATTTTTATTTTTTAACCACACGTTTCCCATCAATACATTATTTAAAAATGCATTCTTAAAAATATAATGTGACTCAAACAAGGGCTTAAAAAACTGTTTTCTACATCAGAGCCTTGGGTTTTGACAACACATGGTTGCCAACCAGTTTTGTACACTTGGCTTTGTGGTAGTAAAGTGAGCTAGAGGGAAAACAAAGGATGCTTCGGGATGGAAAATATTGCTAAGATGCTGATGTGTCCGGTAAGATGCTGCTAAATCACGCTGCATTTGTCCTTCCTCTCCGTAAATATTATGTACAACAGAATACACTACTATTTGGACTTAACCAATTAAAGACTGTATTGGAGAAAAATTTCATCAAAAAGATATTCACGCTTTGCTCTTAAAAGAAAAGTTAACAGAAAAAACATGCCACATTACATTTTTGTCTTGCCGCAGAGACGACTTTGTTAATTATATGATGGAGACTAACCGGGGGACATAAGTGAAATATTTTAGGTTTCTTACCCTAAATCACGTACGGTAATATAACAGTTGATCAAGATTTGATACAAAAAAAGAAACAGGCACTAACCTTCTCTGCCATGCTGTAGAACATTATATGGAACAGTGAAATGCTATGTGGTCCTCGAGATATATACATCCAACTGTTTTTGGCTGTTCTCTTGACAAAATGAATCACCTTTACGGTTAATATTTCCATCTTAGCTTTGATAAAGATATAGAAAGATTTTATTTGGTGTTTTCCTTAAATGATTAAGATATATAACTTGAATATGCTGGCCAACAATATAGATAATGTTGAAATGTCATAGAAAAAACATTAGACCAAGACATTACAAAAAAATGTTCTTTACATGTTGCGTGTTACTGATATTTGGTCTATAGCTGAGGCTCTATATCCCAACACCTTCTGGTATAAGGCATCTCGATTCTATCTCTTTGCACAAGTCCATGGCCAATCCCTGTTTACCACATTGGCGAAGTCCATTGCAAATATCAGATAACATACCTGAATCAGGGGCTATAGATCTTGTTATCATTTCTTTCAAGACTAAAACTGCTCCATCGTAATCCCCATTCCTAATGAAAGCACGTATTAATATCTTGAAAGTTGGTTCATTGGGATGACAACCACTCCGCATCATGCTTTTAAAGAGTTGAAATGCACGCTGAGCATTATTCCTCACGCACTGCCCATTAATAAGAGCGGCAAAAGTAGAGGAGTTAGGAACTAACTTTTCCTTATCAAGTTCTTTGATCATATATGCAGCTTTTTTAGTCTTCCCCTCCTTGCATAGTCCCATAATCATTGCATTATATGTCAAGATATCAGCCTTGATTCCATTCATTGCCATCTCGTCAAAAAGCCGGCCGCCCATCTCACTATTACCTGCCTCACTATAACCACGGATCAATATGTTATAAGTTATAGTAGTAGGAGCAACATTCATGTTTTTCATATCATGAAGTAGCTTGTTTGCCTCGTGTAATTTCCCCTCTTTGCAGAATGCATTAATAAGCACGTTATAAGTAACATCACTTGGGCGAACTTCATTCTTTTCCATTACACTCTTAAGCTTCATCCCACTACTTAACAGTCCTCTACTACAATATCCAGCTATCAGATTATTATATGATGCGACATTTGGGGTTAATCCCATTCTCTCCATGTCCCTAAACAACTCAACAGCCTTTTCCAATTTCCCCACCCTACTAAAAGCTCCAATAACCAAATTAAGCGTATAAACATTTGGTGAGATCCTAGACCGCCGCATCTCCTTATAAAACGCCAAGGCAATATCTGCACGATTCAAACCATTCAATGCACTCAAATATGCATTACATGACTCCACCGTAGGGAAAAATCCATATTCCTTCATCCAACAAAAAGTATCAGTGGCATTCCTGAACTTCTTCAAATGAGCATAGGTCTTGAATAATGCATCGAATACGCGCGGGGAAGAGTCACACATTTTATAAGTATACAACAAAGAGTCAAAAATCTTCCGCGGAAAATCCAACTCAAGCGAGCCCATTTCAAGAATTTTCCTTAAAATCGACTCAGCTGACTTAAACTTGTAATTTTTAGTAAGTATGTGAAGGATTATGGATTGTAAATCAAGGTTCCTCAATTTAGGAATTTGTAGCTCAACCCACTTGAAAAATTCGAGTGAAAGCACATAATCTTTTCGGGTTCTTAGCATAATGTGTTTAATTCTAAATGGTGTCAAACCAGAGGCTAATTTTTCAAGATTATCCCAATCAGAGTGGATTATATGACTGTGAGCTATGTTTACATAATCAAGGTCTTGGCCTTTGGGTTCAGGGATTGTTCTGTGAGGTAATGGAATGGAACTTTTCTTGAAATTACTCAGTACCCGAAGTTCTAAAGAATTTGTTGCCTGGGTTTCGTTTGTTAAATCAAGAAACGTAGAGAGTCTGCGTAATTGGGGATAATTCATGGCGTTTGTACGAGGCATGGCAAATAGGGTTCGTTTATTTGTCGAAAACTGACGCAAAAATTAGCATTATTTATAGAAAGACTGAGAAATCACACTAACCTAGCCTGGTCGGTAATCAGATTGTTCTTCGTTGTTTTCTCCGTATTCTGAATGCCTGGTGATGATTGGATGCGGCTTTTCCCTCTGAGAGAGCTCTGTTATAGTCGATGCCCTGAGCTATGGAAATTTTTTCTTTTTTTCTTTTTCATTTGATTTTTCTGTGAGATTTATGTCAAGTAGCCTCTTTAATTTGATCATATAATCCTAACCGTTCATCCGATCTACACCAAACGGAGCTAACGGCCAAGACCATTTATTTATTAAAAATATAATTAACACAATGGCACTATTGGTCCTCAATCTATTGCATCAGCAGCACATTAATGCAATCTTTAGAAAGCAAATTAATCTTCAATCTTTTATTACAATTGCAAAATCTGTCTTCAACAACGCAAACTATCCAAATATTTTTCTTTTCAACTTGGAATATTGTCCAGGAATTTGAAGCTAGTAGTATTTTAATACATGTCATTATGATAGTTTTCTGTAATAAAAGTTTAATTACGCCACTTCAATAATATATTCTATTATTTCTTCAATGTGGAAAGTAAACATAACTCTTCCATATCTCTTATATAAAAAAATCACAAATCGAGATTCAAGCTGTCATTAATCATTGGCCAGAAGATAAGTAATTTGACTCATTCACAATCACATCAAGAATTTTTAGAATTTTCTTTATTGATTCAATTGAAGGATAGCATAAAGTTGTTCTACTTTCGACTGTTATAATAATTGATATTTTCGAATGAAAAAGTTATTGCGCAATAGATAAAAGGATAACATTCTAATATTCTTTGAGAGCATTGATCGATGCTTCCAAGTGAAAAAGTCATCACTCAATAAATTAAATGATAATGGTTTAATCTCATTCAAAATCATCGACCGAGGCAACTTGCTACTCAAACTACAAGTGGGCGACTAATTTGAAATTTTCTCTAAATTTTAAGGGCTCAAAGACAAATTAATAATGGCTTTACCTCAAAGACTCTAGTTGGGATTCTTAGACTCGCTTTGCTTCCTCCGGCTTCCATGCTATTCAATCCTCACACAGATACAGTGACGTATATACATATACATATACATATAATATATATATGTATATATACGAACAGATACGGATAATCATCTGCAGATCTTGAATTTGAGAGTGTTGGTCTGTGGTGAATTTTAGAGAGAGAATGGAGAGAAGGTCTAGCGCGATTCAGCTGTGTTTTTGTTTTGCGATCTTCCTCTTCATCGCCACCGCTCACTGCTTCTACCTTCCAGGCGTTGCACCCCAAGATTTCCTCAAGGTAACTTCTATAATTGTAGATCTTATTTTTATAATTTTTTAATTGTCTCAGTTGTATTTGTTTGGGAGAGCTGTGCATGTGTTAACCTTGTGATTTTTTGAATGGATTTTATAGATTACAATAAGAAAGGATGAATTTTAAGAAGATTTGTGAATTTTAACAAGTGTTTGTCCTGCAATTTACCGTGATTTTGTTGTTAAAGGACATTTTTCTCTCAGATGTCAGATCTGTAGTTTAATTGTTATTTTTATTTTATTAACTTATTTTGACAAATTTTCGGTGAGGTATGCAGTATTGCAAGTATTCCTCAATACATTGAAATCTAAATATTATCTTTAACCAATTAAATTATTTTTAAATGTCTTTTTTGAATTTAATTAGGGTACTCAGGTAGGTGAAACTCAATGCTTTTTGCGTAAGAAACGATGCATTGATGTTGGTTACTATATTTTTATAACGTTTGAATTAATTTGGTAAGTGTTAATTCAAGGTAGAGTTTTTTGTTTGATTCTAAATATGGTGAAAATGACATTGCCATAACTCAAGAAAAAGAAACTAAATTGCAGTGTGCCTGTTACATATGGCACATGAGGTGCCAAATTACTACTACACTGTCTTTTGTTTCTTCTTAATTTTAGTGACTCCTTGATATTTTGTTCATTTTTTATATGGATTGGTCGTGATTTGTAAATATAAATATTGATGGCTCATGCTTTGGATCATATGAGTAGAATGTTCCTGATTTGTCATGCTCAAGCCTCAAAATTGGATGTTTGGTATAATATAGAAGATAGACAGAACACCAATCATTTACGTGGTATGACACTTGACTTAAGCCCATGGGCAGAGACGAGAAGATTCTAAGGAAAGTTCAAGTCCAGCAGAAAGATAACTCTCTATGTTTCCCACTCAAATTGGCATTAAAATAATATAGGTAGATCCTTTTTATTGGTGCGCAGAAGGGAAAGCTATAATTTGTTGGAAAAATAGTTATGAAATTGGTCAACTTTGAGCCCAAATTTCAGTGGGATCCACCTTTTAATTAATACGGGACCTAGCATATTCACGTTCTACTCCACGAGATGATTAACATGATATATTTATTTATCGAAAATCATTTAAAATTGAATGAAATATTAAGTGTTAAAGTAATCCACATAAACTAAGTATTATGGAAGAATTTGATTTTCCAAACACTTATGCCACATAAGAAAGTTAGGAAACTTTGGTGTGGTTTATAAGGTGGAAGTTTGGAATTGGGTTTGGGCCCCAAGGGGTACCAATAGTTTTTGGAAGGGGGAAGACCTATATCCTATTGGGTTCGATCATAAACCCACACGCGCGCCATCGCCGCCATTCGTCCGACCGGCCGACTGGCTCGGCTCGGCACGGCATGGCATGAGCACGTGCCCATGTCCAAGTCCGGTGCGGGTGGACCTTTGCACTATATTAACTTTTTGGACAAAATTTATTTGAAATTTTGGGCCAAATTGTAAATAATCAAATTCTTGGGTACTTTATGGAATTTAAATTTTGGCTTATTCCGGGTGTTTTATTTTCTTTTAACATTCGTCTGTTTACCGACCAAATAATCAACTGACAGCCGACTGTTAACCAACTTAACAGACGCGACTTTTAAAAACAGCATGTCTGTTCGGATTTTGAGGTTTGTCTGAAAGGTGATGACTGTTCGAATGGCCACGAACAAGTCTATAAATAGCCAGACTCTCTACCAGAAAATTCACACAATTTTCATTGCAAACTTTCTGTGCTTTGAATCTCATTTCCCTCTCTCTCGTTCTGATATTGTCTCGAAGTAAAACACACTTCGTTGAGTTCGTTGGAACTCCTGTAAATTGCAGTGCTGCTTCTGTAGGAGAGGAAAATTTGTTCTATCCTGGGAAACGATTGATGGACGTCTTTAGCACCATTGAAGGCAGCAAATTCGTTTTAAGGAAATATCGTGAAGTCGGTGGGCTTGAATTACAATTTTGGATCCTGTTGATCAATTCTTACATTCAAGTGATTTTTCGAAGGAGTAACTTCAAATTCCAGAAACAACAATCTTAAAATGAATTTTGTATTATTATTTTGTTTCTGTTTCTACTCCTTCTTACCGCTAATCTTCTGATTGTGTTTAAGAAATGACAACTTCTGGTACCACACTCCCGAATATGCCGGGAAAAACCAGAAAATTTTAATGGGTCAGATTTCAAGCGTTGGCAACAAAAAATATTTTTTTATCTGACGACGTTAAATCTGGCTAAATTTCTCAAAGAAGACGCGCCTTCATATACCGAGCAAGACAGTGATGCTAAAAAATTGGCTGCGGTTGATGCATGAAAGTATTCTGATTTCTTATGCAGAAATTATGTACTTAATAGACTGGATAACACATTATATAATGTGTACTGCAATGCTAAGTCTGCAAAAAAACTGTGGGAATCTTTGGACACAAAGTACAAAATCGAAGATGCCGGCACGAAAAAATTCATTGTCGGTCGTTTTTTGGACTATAAAATGGTTGACAACAAGACTGTTATATCCCAAGTTCAAGAACTTCAAATCATACTTAGCGACATCCATGCCGAAGGAATGAAACTAAGTGAATCATT